GAACCTAGTGGGTATTTTACAGTTTCCATTTTATATGATTTCTGTTTTCTTTTACCTTTGCTCTGAGATTATGTAGAGGAATATATCTTAGGGTCCTACATTGTGAAACAGTCATACTTTCCTTGTGCTCCTATATTTCTCAGATCCAAACTCCTGCCAACATTTATGCCCTTTTCTAGAAGTAGAAGGAAGATCAGAACTGAATTTTTTTTTTTTTTTTTTTTTTTTTTGAAATGGGAATTGAACTCAGGCCTTTGCACTTTCCAGGTAAGCACTTATTTTACTGAGCCATCTCTCCAGGCCCCAGAAGGAAGATCTGTAGGAGACAAGTTCCTGTCTTTTTTTTATTCCTTTTATAAATTCGCCCATTAATTTCTCATCTCATGTGGTGGTCATCAGCTATGTGTACCAAATCATTCCCTCAAATATATTTGTATAAACCCCCAAATGCCTTAAATTAGCTAAAATAGATCTATTTTCATAAAAACTATCCTTAGAAAATTTTATGTTTGGAGTGAGTTTGCCAGTGTCTATTATTATAGATAAATACTGGAAAAAAGAGGCTGTAGTTAAGATGGTTTATTAGAACTCAGGAATATACTAATATATATTAGTATAATATATATTAATACACTAATATATTAGTGAATATAAAAATACACTAATTTTTGCTCTGATATGTGTTTGCTTTTATCTTTCTTATAGCTCTTCCATTTACATAGATACAAAATTTACTTTATGATTTAATTCACCAAAAATATAATATACAATTCCTTAATCTTATCCAGGGCAGACTGAATTATTATAGATATTTTAAACTCTGGTTATATTCTAGTTCAATGGTTGTCAAGTTCAATTTTCAGCAGAAACATCTAGAGAGCTTGTTGAAACAGATTTTTGGGTTCTATTCTTGGTGTTTCTAATTCAGTAAGTCTGAGGAGGGACCCCAGAATTTACAACTCTAACAAATCTCTAGGTGATGATGTTACTGGGCCAAAGCTCACAGTTTAAAAATCAGTAGTGTTGTATATAACAAAAAAGGGTTAATAGAAAAGAATTTTAGTGATATTAGACTTAGAACTTAAAATTTTCCATACCAATCATAACGAGTTTTATATAACTTATTAATTATTATTGACAAATAAATCACATCTTATATTTATTTTTCAGTGCGAATTGAACTAATAAATTTGTCTCAGGTTTTCTCACATCTGTGTAGGCAAGGAAAATAAGTGGACATGTTTTCATACTTCTCTTAAAGGTACATTAGGGTGAAAATTGATTTTTTGAATGCAATGTGACCTATTTGATAATTATTTCACTATAAATTTTTGGTTACATGGCACTTGAAAAATCATTTTGAAATACTGACCTGCTTTTATCCTAGCTATAAGCTATAATATTGTTTTTTTCCAATAATTTTATTGAGAAACAAATAGCAATGAGACAGTTTCAAACCAAATTGTTAGGACAGTTTCAATAATTAGCACATTATATACATTCTTCCTAGTGGTTAATTGCTGTACAAGATGCAGACATGATATTCTATTTATAAACACTATTAGAACAAATCTCTCTATTCATTAAGAGAATGTAACTATATATCTATTCTAACCATTTTGAATACACAGATACATAATGGACATTCATCTGTATTCCCTTTTTTGTTAAGTTATATTATTTGAATATTATAGGTGTGTTAACTCAGCAAAATATTCTAAAAGAGTCCAGTAGTCCATAATAGTATTGGGTCTTCTGTTTAACTGGCAATGTCAGAAATTGTTGACCTGAGTCCCCTACAGCTCAACATAACAGCATGGCTTTACTTCTTACATTTCATTTTTATATTTTTTTGCTGGATGGCTAAGACCAAGGTAAAGCAGGGCCTATGCAACAAGAGTTGTAGCTTTTGGGTCTGAGAAGGTCAGTAAAATGCTCTCAGGATTTATCCTGAGATCCTGTACCTCAGATTGTAGATCAGTTGTCAGTGTCAGCCATGGGGATGAGTCACAACCATTACTTGGTCAATGTGCTCTCTGTGAAAGCCTGAGAGAATGTTTTCTCTCCATGTGACTCTCCTTAGGCACACTCTACATCATCAATCACTTTCCTCTTTGGCCCCATAATCTCCTTGATCAGAAAATTTGGGACACTACTGAGTTATGTGATGTTACAGTACAAGTTCTCATATGTCCTGAGTCTTAATTGATCTTGGAAGGCTAGGGCCAAAATGTTGGCTTTCCTTGCAGCCCTTCTTTTTCTCTAATTTTGGTCTGCAAACTTAGGTTGTTAACCATCCAAAGACAAACTTATTGTTATTACCATACAACCTAGGTTGTTAAGCTTAAGCTCACTATCTGTCTGAATATCAAACATCTTAGGCATAACATGGAACAGGTATTTTTAATCAAGTATTGATATGTTAAACTTTAAGTTCCTACAGAATATTATAAAAACATTTAAAAATTAGAATATATTTTAAAAATAGGCATAAAGAATTATATAATTCTTATGTTTACATGTAAATCCAAAAATCTAACCATATACAACCTTGAAGCAAGACAGACCCACAATATTCTTTTTTCTGTCTCCTGCCTTCATTTACCACCCCCTCCTTTTCGAATCATCTACCCGAGAGACAGCACAGCAATATAATAAAGGTCCTCAAAGGAAAAAAGAACCAAAATGCACTGGGCAATCAGTTACTCTGTGCTCTTAAGTTATATGCCAGACATTTTTCCCTCACATGTCTTTCAAATGGCCAGTCTTTCATTCATCAATTAAATGTTTTATAAAAATTTCATTTCAGTGTTCATAACATTATGCCTCCAAAATGTAAACATCAGAACCCAACTAATTTTCCTTCATTCAACCAAAGAAAAGTAATGTTAGATATTTGAATTACTTTAACCTTTATTGGAAGTAGTCACTTGAAAATATTTATACTAAAACACTATCATTCTGCTAGGAAATGAATGGTGCAGAAATCTTCCTAATGCTAACACTTCTCTGAAATAACATTGATCAAGTCATGTGCCATTACCCAGCTGGGATCATGTTAAAACTTTGAAAACAATGGCATTACAAAATTCTTACATAGCTTGAAAGAACTGACAAAATTATTACATGTACTTTAGTAAGGAACTATTTGCTGCCTGTGAATGTTTCAAATATTCAGAACCCAGATTAATCACTCCTTTAGGGAACATCTAAAAGCAAGGGCCAGCTAATAGCTCAACAGATTAAAGCACATGTTTAGGCAGATGTGGGGATGGGAGTTCAATCCCTGGCCTGCCATGCTGGCCCCGCCACTGGGGCGGGCAGAGACTGTGATTGAGACTGGACATGGTAGAGCACCTGTAATTCCAGCTCGTGGGAGGCTGAACACAGGTGGATCACTATAAGTCAGATCTGTGTAGTGAGATACTGTAGACCCTGAAGACCCTATACTAAAATACAATAATAATAATAATAATAATAATAATAAATAAAAGCAGATATTTCATTCCAAAAAATTTGGAAAGTATAAAAAGGTGCCAGGAAGAAAATTACCTGAAAACTCTATAATCAATTATATATTCACTGTTGCACAGATATAAAATAGCCAATTTAAAGAAGTATGAAGAAATTAAAATTATATTTCACTGTAGCAAGTTACACAGTACTATATTGCTCACCTGTTGAGAGGAAAGAAAAGTGATTTTCAATCATGAAGTCAGAGAGCTTTGAAAGGACTTGGTCGCATTTGGTATATTTTATAGAATACAAATGCACACAGAAACTGAGATTTGCAGCCCTGAGACTGGAGAAAATGATGGCAATGAGCACATATATATGCCCCTCTGTAGTCCCTGTGGAGTAGCTGCTGGGCTCAAGATTGGGAGAATTTTAGCAATGAAAAGCTATGGGCTGGAGGTCTGGAGAAATAATCCAGTAGAATAAGCACCTGCCTGGCAAGCACAAGGTCCTGAATTCAATCCCCAGAATAAAAAACAAAAATACAAAACAAAACAAAACAAAACAAAACAGGCTGTGGGTTGTTATCAGGGTAGAAGCTGGGGAATGGCTTGGTGCCTATGTCAGGGGACTAGACATATGGCCATATGCCTATGCCCAGAGATTCCCATGGTGAGCAACTGAAGACTTTAACATAGTTCCCACTTTTTCTGGAAGATTCCAATGGGAAGTCATTAAAATATTTGTAAAGTAAGAACAGTCCTGTTTCTTAATTTCCTCTTCCCCAGTCTTCTGAGGGTGTTTGAGAAACCTTGGATAAGAAGTTGGGAGGAGAAGGAGGATGACAACAATGAGGAAGACAAGGATGAGGAGGAGGGGGATAATGAAGAGGAGGGAAGGAGGAGAAGGAGGAAGAGGAAGAGGAGGAGGAGGAAGGAGGGAGAGAAGGAGGAGAAAAGAATGGTACGAGGTAGATTGCTAACCACCATTTCTCATCGAAGTCTGTGTATTCTTCATGGAAAAAGAAATATCTTGAATTGTACACATAGTTTGGAGTGTAGGATGTAAAATCATCATTTTAATTACTGAAATTATGTCACAGCTAAAATTAAGTAGCAGGATACAAGAAAGCTAGGACTCTTTCCTTGGGTTTTATCTAAAAAATGGGGGGAAACTAGGTAAGTAAATGAAAGTGACAAAGAGGTTTTCTTTTAATCTCTATGTAATCTTACTTTTTTATTTCATAAATAATGTATCTATATTCTCTTTCAATATATAAAAGTTTTAAAATATGATTATTTAATTTTTAAAATAGTTCCCAGCTTACCAATCTTTTTCTTTTTTCTTTCTTTTCATTTTTTGTTTGTTTGTTTTTGCATTTTTGAAACAAGGACTCAGTCTGTAATTCAGGCTGGCCTTGAAGTTGTAGCCCTGGATGTCCCCAGACTCATGGCAATCCTCCTGCCTCAGGCTCCTAAGCACTGCGACTACAGGTGTGCACCACCACTCTCTCCTAGCTCTCTTTTAACCAGCACTCATCCCCCATGGGTTAGACTTTTCCCAAAGGCACTACCCTACAAGGTTGATGCACAGAGTTCATGGAGCAAATTCCTATTCCATCCCCCAGCTCCAAAAGTTCATGTCCTATATTGTTCTCAGGTAGATGATGTATCCAATATTAAACTGATATTAACACATACTATACTTGCTCTTAGCCAAAATGCTGAAAAGTAATTGTTATCATCTTTCTTGAAAACCATTATAACATAGATCCTGTTTTCTTTCTCTTCTTTTTTCTAATGTTTATTACATTGATAGTTATGAAATTCTTCTTTTTTCAAAAATATTAGACATTTAATTTAAACACAGTACGTGAAACATTGTAGTAGATGACCAGTACAAATTCATGTGCATAAGTGGATGAACAGAAGATCCATTTTCTCCCGCATTTAATCTAAATAAAAAAAAATTACAGAGACAAAATTATTTTGTTAATAGCTTGTTTTAAAATAAGCACTCAATTCTGCTTCCCCATTTTAAATCCTGCCAAAAATGTTGAGGTACAAATACTTTAGGAATACAAATACATTTGATGCTCTACACATCCATGTGGATAGATGGAAACCCAAAATATAAAACAGTACCAATTCACATAATTAAAAGGAAATACTGACAAATGCTACTCATTTGTAGAACTAAGTAGATGAGAAGTAGTGGCTTGAGAGGGCCCATCTTGAGTAAAGAAAGGGCTCTCAACAATCTTCGTTTTTTTTTTTTTCAAAATTTTATTGATAAACAGATAGCAATGAGACAGTTTCAAATCAAATCGGAAGTACAGTTTCAACAAATAATACACTGCATATATTCTTCTTAGTGGTTAATTGCTGTACAAGATGCAGACTTGAGATCCTATTTACAAACACCATTAGAACAAATCATTCTATTCATTAAGAGAATGCAACTATATATCTATCCTAACCACTTTGAATACACAAATACAGACATTCATCTGAATCCCCTTTTCTTGCTAAGTTCCGTTATTTGAATATTATATAGGTGTGTAAACTCAGCAAAATATTCTAAAAGAGTCCAGTAGCCCATAATAGCATTGGATCTTCTGTTTAACTGGCAATGTCAGAAATTATTATTATCAAAGTTTTATTGATAAACATATAGCAATGAGACAGTTCTCAACAATCTTTGATTACTTAGGTTCGCAGAGCTAAGAGGTACAAGGTAGGAGAGAAAGCATGAGAATTATGGGTCCTCATCATGACTGGAACTTATTTCAAATCAATGTTGTTAGAGTATCCAGAATTACACCCCCATACCAGTGGTACTGTCTGTCCTAGTAGTATGTGTGGCTGACTGGCTGGCTGACACTCAGGTCTTTTCTAAAAACACCAAAAGTTCATAACTTTTGTAGGATTTAGGTCATCAGTATGCTTTGGTGAAATGATTTCAAAGCCAAGCTCATCAGTAGACATGATAGAAAGGAAGTACTATGAGAAGATGAGAATCTCAAATACAAAGTGGCAGGCATTGCCGTTAGAGCTAAGGAGAGAGGCAGGACATGGTTACATAACAACAGCACTGCCGGGGCAATAGCGTCTTCTCTCCCATCCAGCTCAAATCTTCCCCAGGCTGTGTTAACTTCCACATGGAGTGGAAGATTCCTAAATTGAAATTAGGCTAATTGCCTAGCTCTGGAGTGATTAACCAAGGAAAAACTGTTGTCACAAAATCATGCAAATCAAAACATCCAGAGATGACCCTCCAAGATGTATGCATAAATAGCTGTTGCAGCCAATTTTGGATGACACCCAACAGTGTAACTTTGTTTCATTGATTACAAAGACAGCTTTGTGACAATGGCAGGCACACAGCTTTCTCCATCATTCTGAAAGTCTTCCTGTCTTTCTTGTTCCCACACGTTAAATCAGCAGTGCGTGACTTACAATTTGACTTGCTTTGTTTTTTGCAAAGTAGTCAGAACTTGATTCCATTCATGAGTGACCTTTCTCCTCCCTCTCAGATGCTGATTTGGGCAACATTCATTTCACTATTATTCCATCTTGCAAGATAAAAATTTGGTGGCCTCATGAGTGGGAGAACTTGATAACTGTTTCAGGAAAGCATTTACCAAGTCAGTATTCAAAGCCATCTGAAATAGTTGGCATAGGCAAACAATAAATGGCATTACTTTAATAAGTTGGGAGAGAATAAGGCTGTCCCATTGTGCCTAGCAACTGTTAAACATTATGTTCTCCCTTGGAATTTAACAATGTAATATTTGTTTCATTCAGCACAGGCCTTGTTTCTTAAAAAACAGATCTTCAAATAAATTACATGAAGAAACTGAAATACACAAATATATACATACACAGGAAAATTATGTAAAAACAAATGAATGGTACATCTTAAAACTAAGAATATGGCCAACCCACGAATAGATAACCATGTTTTAGAGTAACCAGTTTTTATATATTGGTGAGAATGTGTAAAACGAAAACAGGACAAAACCCCCCAAAACTTACCCACTAAGCAGAGAGAAATAAACTGCCCTGAGTTTCGGCTTTGAAGTCAAAGGGACCTCTGCTGTGAACAAGCGAATCTTTGAATGCTGCAGCTTTTTTACGTATAACACAAGTGACAGTAGCACCTTCATCATATGACCAAGAGAGAATTAAATGAAGTAGGTTTTCAAACTATTTTGTGAGAAATTAGCAATCAATAAATGCTCAGTGTTAGCTTTACAATTGGCTTAACAAGGCTCGTGCAGATAGCTCAGGGGATTGAAGGACCTGCTTAGGCAGACACAGGGGCCCAGGGTTAGATCTCCAACCTGCTGTGCGGGCTCCGCCCCCGAGGCTTACTGAGACAGTGACTGAGACTGGGCGGCGTAGTGCCGTTTTGGGGCCTATAATCCCAGTGCTTGGGAGGCTGAAAAACAGGAAGAACCACTACAAATCTGATCTGTGTAATGAGACCCTGTAGACCCAATACTAAATACATTTTTTTAAAAATGGCTTAACAAAGATGAAAACTCTCCTGGTTTTAGATTGAAAAATGCTAACTCAGACTATATGTTAAAGATAAGTGCTCTAAAATATTTACCCAATCTTTATTAAGGCTACATTCTGTGCCAAATTGCTGTAGATCTAGTTACTTTTCTTCCTGACTATGTTTTAAGGTGACAGGAAATTTCCATAAGCTTGACAACAATTTTTCCTTTCACAAGTGTAAACTTCCAAATAGCTCAGCGGATTAAAACACCTGCAAGCAGGTGCAGGAGCCAGGGGTTTGGTTCCCAGGCCTGCCCTGCCAGTCCCACCCCTGGAGTGCATTGAGATGGCAAATTGAGACTGGGCGGGGTGGTGCACACCTGTAATCTCAGCTCTTGGGAGGCTGTAAATAGGTGGATCACTATGAGTCTGATCTAGTAGACCCTGAACACCTTGTAGACCCTTCCCTAAAAATACAAAAAAAAATATATATATATATACATATATATGTATATATATAAATTAATGCCTTCTATTCATATAGGACTATATACTTAGCACACAAAATTCATGTGTGCATATGCTTAAGTGTGTGTGTTTGTGTGTGTGTGTGTGTGTGTGTGTGTATACATGAGCCCTAGTGACAGACTCAAAAGAAGCACAGAGGAACCATACTTATTGTTAGCATTTGATATGTTGGTACAAACGGGTAGCATATCTGACAATGAGGAATAGCTAAGTGCCTAAAATATTTGGTGGCTCTCTACAGTCTATTCAGTTGCTTTCTTGTCTTAAAATACCAAAGAGATAGGAGAGAGTGCTGATTAGTGAAGGAAACTTACAACGGAGTAGCTGCTGCTCATTCTACTTCTGAGATTGTGAACAGGATGGATTTTCTTGAATACTTTATGTAAGAGAGGTAGAATTTAAGTTCGTCACACTGAAAACCGGCCATATTTATGTCACTCTTTGCATTTTGGGCTAGAAATTTTGAAAGACTTTTCTTTCTTAGTTGCCTTGAACAACAAAGTAAAAATAAATCAAGATTCTCCCCAAATCTATTATTATTGTCAATATTATGGAACAAATAATTAGTAGGACAAAAGGAATTAACATTTCATTTTCCTCCAGAGGCCTGGGGATCTTCCCTTCTGCTAATATACATCATTGTCTCTCCCTTTGAAGAGAAAAACTTAGTCTGACCTGTAGGTACCTAAAGCACTGACTGGCCTACATTTTATGACAAGATAGGACTAGTGTGGCCCAGTGACAGTAATCTAAACCCTTACTTTGTCTGATCTCTTTGTCCTGTGAAGTGAGCACAAATAGTTTTGTCTATACCACTGGTGAGAAAAACTAGTAAAGAAAACCCAATCACAGGTTCCCTTACCTCTACAGGCATTTTGAATATGAGTCAAAACATTTGAGGGAAGAAAGATGCCATTAAGATTTTTGAAAATGAGCTCTCCACTCTTAATTTACTAGAAAACCTTGTCTTATGCCACACAGAAAGGGGTAGGGTTAGGGCAAGGTTAGTATGTAAACTAACTCTTTGTCCATTATTGAAGAAGTAACATGGTTTACATGTGTAACTGTTTTATACAGTCGCTATTTTAAAACATCAAGCAAAGAAAGAATTAAATAGTAAGATTAGAATAAACTTTACTTTGATCTTTTAATGAGCGTAATATCTAGAAAGCTATTCAAAATGTGATACAAATTAAAACTAAACTTCTCAATGAATAGAAGGCAAATGTTTTCAGAAACTCTCCGCACACATAATTCATGTTAATCAGTAACTGAAATTAATGAAAGGTCAATTTAAATAGAAATTCTTATGAACTATAGGGACAAATAAACCAAAATCTCTAGCATATTAAACCATGGTTATTGGTGGCACGTGACTGTTATCCAAATGGTTGGGAGGCTAAAACAGGAAGATCACTACGAGTCTGATCTGTGTAGTGAGACGCTGCAGACCCTGCACTAAATGCATTAAGTAATAATAATGACAATAATAAACCATAGTTATACTATGACTATTGCTGAACTTTAGGTTTTAATTATTTTTAATCATCATAAACATGTTTAATTCAAACTCCATTTCTAGGTAACACACTGAAATTCTGAGGCAATCACTATATCATTAAATACTAAGTTTGAATCCACTGCTTAACGCTATGAGGATACAACCATTGAATCAGGAAGATTTTCTTCAAGAACCATGACT